ACATCAGCTAAGCTAAAACCACATCAGCTAAAGAAACATCAGCTAAAGAAACATCAGCTAAAGAAACATCAGCTAAAGAAACATCAGCTAAAGAAACATCAGCTAAAGAAACATCAGCTAAAACCACATCAGCTAAAACCACATCAGCTAAAGAAACATCAGCTAAAACCACATCAGCTAAAACCACATCAGCTAAAACCACATCAGCTAAAGAAACAACAGCTAAAACCACATCAGCTAAAGAAACATCAGCTAAAACCACATCAGCTAAAGAAACAGCTGAACATGATCCTGGTAAAGCTTTTGGAAACTTTACTGTTTTTCTTCCAATAATTTTAGGAGCTCAAACTTCACCAACTCCAAGCTGAAGGACGTCTGCAGGGTTCTGGACCTGGAGAAGAAAGGAACCCACTCAGACCTGGTGGACCGGATCCTGACGTTCCTCATCGCTCCAAAGAACAGTGGGAAGGTGATGTGTCCAGTTTGTGTGTGGGAGGCCTCAGGACCGTGGTCTTCATGGTTCTTCTCTGGTTCTGTTGTTCCTGGCAGCGTGTTCCTGTGAAGAAGAAGAAGAGGTCCAAGAAGAAGCTCTCCAGCCACGAGCTGAAGCCCAAAACCAAGCAGAGCAGACCCACCGCCCGCAGCTCCGCCTCCAGACCAGGAAGCAAGTCCAAGGCCATCGTGATGGACTCCAGCAGCGACGAGGACGAAGAGGAGGAGGAGGAGAAGGCAGGGGCTTCAGCCGAGGCTGAGGGGTCCGATGGAGAGAAGACCCCCTCACTGGAGGAGGAGGAGGAGGAGGAGGAGGGGTCTGCAGAGGAGGAGCAGGAGGTCAGGTTTGGTTTGTTGTTTGTCAACAGCTCAGGATGAAGAGCAGACACCTTGTATTAACTGAAGGTCCTGTTCCAGTCCTCCAAACCAAAGTCCAGCAGAGGGAAGAAGAAGAAGAAGAACTCTCCGGTCAGGAGGCACCGCACACCAACGAAGAAGACAGGACCTCCTAAGAAGAGGAGCAGGAGGGAGACTTCAGGAGAGTCTGAGCCCAGCAGTGACTCTGATGACAAGGTACCAGAAGGTTCTGCTCAGGTTCTGCTCCTGGAGGAGGTCTGATGGCAGCTCTGCTTCTTTTACAGCCAAAGAAGAAGAAACCTGCCGCCAAAACCAAGAAGGCCGACAGCAGCAGCAACAGGAAGAACACCAACCCAGGTGAGCTCACCTGAGCCCTGATCCTCCTCACCTGAGCCCTGATCCTCCTCACCTGAGCCCCGATCCTCCTCACCTGAGCCCTGATCCTCCTCACCTGAGCCCTGATCCTCCTCACCTGAGCCCTGATCCTCCTCACCTGAGCCCTGATCCTCCTCACCTGAGCCCTGATCCTCCTCACCT